TATCTCCTTCCTGGGTTTAATTCAGTCCAGGATGTCTTCATTGTTGTTCTCCTTGAACAGTAGCATGACATTTTTAAGAACACAAGAAAAAAATGTGAAGAGAAAAATGGAGGGAATGGGAGAATGAGAGATGGGTTGCAGTGATAATAAATTAGAGAAAGAGAAAAATGGAGGGAAAATAATGGACATAAGAGAGAAATGGAGGGAAAATTGAAGGAAATAGGGCTTTAGGACAGGAAAAGACAACATTAACCTTGAGTTTAGCATGTGCAACGCATGTGGGATGAGAACCGGTCATTTTGACCTGCAAACGGGCAAAAAAGGGCAAAGTGGCACAATTAACTAAGTACAGATGAAGTCTTGCAAAAAAAAATTGTTCAGGTGGTGATCCGCAAAAACTTAAAAAGTTCATGTGGTTTAATGCTATTTACCCTAATATATATACCATGGAGACTATTAGATGGGTTGTTGATAGGCAAAGAGTAGTGAACCCCATCGAATGAAAATTTGCCATCTTTGACCCGGTTCGCGACCCGACCCACTACGCAACCAAAATATGGAGCATCACCTTTCTGCACATAATCAAGATTCAAGTTTTACATGAACAGATAATAAATCAAACGGGTTTTTAATTTTTGAAAAATAATAATTAGGAACACGATGACTAAGTTTTCCTTTTTTTAATGTGAATATGATGAAGAATTGTGTGAAAGAATACATGAATGTTCCCTTTATTTATAATAAATATTAAAGAGATGAGTTTCTTGGTGAAAGAGATATAGCTCCTAAACCAGTGGCGGATGTAGACAACATTTTAAGGGAGGCGATTTTTTTAGGAAAAAGTATATCCAACGGAAGGTTATACTTTTGGGGATTTCAGGGGCAGCGCGCCCGAATTTTTTTTCGGGTTATTCACAAAATATTGCTAAAATAAGTATATATTTATAATTTTGAAGTAAAAATATATATTTTTGTAGTTGTATTTTATATTGTAATAACAAATAGAGAAAGAATATCTAAAATTACATAAAAGAATAGAGAAGAAAATAAAAATAAGGGGAGCAAAAACACATACTTGTATAATAATATGTCAAAAAGCAATAAAAAAAGTTGGAATATTCTTTTTATGTGGGGCGGCTGCCCCCTACCCCTTAGTAAATCCGCCACTGCCCTAAACCTAGAATAATAAAGATGCCTGATTATGAATGAACTATACACAAAAACCCCATTAACAAAACATGTGTATCAATAATTTATTTCCTTTTGTCGATAATCTTGAACCTAAATTTACCGTGGTTATTGCCTCGGAAAATATCGGCGTATCGTTTTCCTCCGTGTATCGTATCGTATCATAAGATATTTAATCAAATATTAAAAATAATAATATTTTTAAGTCAAACTTTTCATTCCTAATTTCTTAAAAAAAAAAAAACTAATCTATTATAAAATAGATCATAAAATAGGACAAAAGTCATAATTGCTCATAAAAATAACATCAACAAAATTCAAAATTTGATCCCTATTTTGTAAAAAACTAATCTATCATGCATAATCTTCAAGATCAATGTCACTTAAATTTTCTTCATCTACCAATTTCAAATAGTGTCTTCGTCCTCATGTTCATCAATCTTTTCAACTTCATCAACTCCAACTTTGGTTTTTTCCTATTTTCTCTTATCAATATCAAACTTGGCGTGTAGATTTCTTGGATCTAATATATGTAAGAAACAAATTAAATCATATTAAAATTCGTTTTCAGTCATGATAATGTGAATATTTCGTTTCCTTCTTTTTTCTTTTATTTTTATATTTTTTTTATTTTTTTTTTAATATTTTGAATAATATCGTAAATATCGTAGAGTATCGTGATATGGTGATACGTCACGATATCTCGAGATATTTAACGGTTTTTATGTATAGCCGATACATATTATGAGTTGTATCGCGGTATCTTGCGAGTTTAACTACTATGAAATTTACAACCATGGTAAGTTTAATGGGTAACCTAAAAAAGTACATCTGTGTAATCTCTAAATAGTAAAAAACCCCTTGTGATAAATAAACTAGCAAAAACCCCCTGTGAAATTATTTATATAGCACACTCAACCCATAATCGGTTTGAATGTTGACTTGATATAAAAAGACACAAATACCCCCGGGTTTTACAATTAATAAATTCTTATATTTTTTAAACATTTTAATTATTTTATTATATCTTAATTAGATAATTTATTATTCTAATTTTATTATCAGATAATTTATGTATATATTTTAAATTATTCCTACATTAAAAGAAAACTTAAACTCCAGTATTATGTATTTTTTTAGTTTGTATTTAAAAAACCTATACTTCATTTGATTACTAGATTTTTAATATTTTTTTAATTTAATTGTTTACTATTTTTTTAATAATATTTTCATTTCTAAACAATAAAATTAAAAGGAACACACACACACACACACACATATATATATATATATATATATATTTATATATATATATATATATATATACACACACACACATACACGCGTTTTGAGGGTCAATTTCGTCACTTCATGTCCTAAAATTTCGTCACGAAAGTCAACCAGAGGGTTTCTACCTTTGACTAATTTTTACAGGGGGCTTGTTGTTAGTTTATTTATCACCGAGTTTTTTGCTATTTAGAGATTACACAGAGGTATATTGCAGTTTACTCTAAGTTTTATAGTTATATAGATTTAAGAATTAATTAAATAGTCCACTTGTCATGAGATTGAAAAGGTATCAGAAAATAAAATTAAGCTTTTGTCGTTAGTTTATCAATATGGGTTTTAGGATATAGGGCCCTGGTGCTAAAATTAATTAGAACTAAATTACAAGTCCAACTAAACATTTGCTTCACATTCTTAATAAAATTCATTCCAAAAGTGTCCCTCTACTCATATATTTGAAATTTGCATTATGTAATATTCGAACTGCATTTATCATTCTTTTATTATGCGTTTAATATCTTCATTTTTTTCATTTAACATATTTTATTTTATTTTTGCACACTTTGTCATCTTTGTTTTTTCATTTTTCACTCAATTTTTTTTAATTATTATAAACAGCTTATATGTTTTTCTTATTTTTAACATTTTATTGAAAATTAAGAAAAAAAATTCTTTTCGTTTTTGTTAAATAATACATCAGATTTTAAAAATACAATGGTATACTATGGTATGCTCTGGATTTTAAAAATACAATCGTATAATGTGGTATACTATGGTGTCCTATGATGTACTACGATATACTATGGTGTACTATACTGAACCCTACCGCCAACAACTCCCAGCCGTCGCCAACTCTAGCATTCAGTGCGGCCGCCGCCAAACCGTAGTCGCAACCGCCGCATCTATACTCACCTACTACCATTGAAAAACCCTAGATTTGCTAATATGAACCCAAACCAAGCAAAATCTCAAGAAAATCAGATTCAATTAGTCGAACATATGGTTCCCAC